ATGTGTGCAAGGCTGAGAGGTAACTGCAAGATATGTAATCCATCAGCTACTTAGATGTGCTTCTCTTGGATATCCAATAATTACAGGCACTAGCCCACAAGAAAGTATCATCTCTAGATCTTTTCAGGGTGAGTCTATGAGGGAAAAAAGCACTTGCCAGTAACAGATATAGAAAACAATATTCTATGGCTAAACTGGAATTACAACGCTGCATCTAACAGGGTTTGAGATACAAGATCACCTTTGTCATGAGCAGTTGAATGCTGAGCAAATCCAAAGCACCTGAAACATTCTGTATTGCCATCAACAAGATGAAGAACTCCATTAAAACACATATTTTAAGTACCACAAGAGATGGCTGCAGAGAAAGCGACCTTACCCCTACACATGTTCACCTTATGACTTAGTCCAGCATTTCTGTTTGGATCCAAAAACACCTCTTTTTTTTCACTCTGCTCAGAAGCCAGACTTTCAGCATTAAGACAGGGGGTGCAGTTTTTCCTGGGCTGATGGGTGCACTCTGCAGTCCAGGTAGGCACTTGCTTAAGGAACAAGCCCTTAAGCCCTGCCTAACATCCTCTGAAATGAGAGCACACAGGTTGTGCTGCAGATTTTACTGCCAGCCCATCCAGGCTGTCTAAATCTGATTTTGATTTGCTGGTCATCCACTCCACAGACATTCAGAAGCCAGAAGGCTTAAAAATTTACTACTGGTTTATTTTATTATGGCTCAGAAAGTGGTATCTCAATAGTTCACCAATGTGAACTGTGCACAGAGGGATACATCAAGGGAAAAAGGATACACAGATTTCCTAACCTGATTTGTGAGCAGTTCTCTGGCATCAAATGCTGGTATTAGAGATCTGCAAGCTTATTCCCCCATAGGCATTCAAGGCCCTCAACTCCCTTGTTACTCTGCATCCTGTACAAAAATCAAGGCTTAGCTTCATTAGCCAGTTTGGTGACCACTAATTTTCACCTCCTGCTTCCCTGCACCCTCTTGAAGCACAGGTTTTCTATCCTCCTGATTCACAATATGAGAATCAAGTTATTTTATTTCACCAACAGCTAATTAACAGCAAATATGTACTTATGTTTTTTACCTTTACTGGTTTTGTTCTTTAAATGCTGACTACAGTTTGTTTTGGAGCTGAGCCTAGTTAGAAGAAGGTTTCCATGAGCAGTCCCTAGATGAGGGCAAATTTAAGTTAAATTTTGCTGAGACTTTTTCCCCAGCTCATCTTCTTTTCTTTCACCAGGTGAAGATGATCTAAGTTGGCCCAGTTCTTGTTCTGTCTTTAAAAAACGTGCTTTTAACACAGAAAAACAGATGTATTTGTTCAGAGAGAAAAAGCAGATCATGATCTGGCAAAAAGACTGTCCTATATACTCAGAACTTTAGGGCCACCCTGTGCATTTAGATTGAGTGTAATTTCCATGTTTGGTTTTGATGCTTCATCATTTTGTAGCTCATCTCGGAATCCTTCAGTGAAGAAGCTGCAATCCAGAGTGCTGATGTGAAAATCCCAGAACACCAAACCTCTGTAACAGAAATGCCAGCAGCTTTATCTGAAAGCAGCACTGTTGGATGCTGGAAGATTAATGGCATATCCAGGGTAGGCACTGGAAGGAGACCTCCAGAACACAGCATTTCCACACTGGGCAGTAAAGGCATGATACAAACATTGCAGCATTTACCTGGGAACTGCAATGAAATACATCACTATCCATTACTTAGGATGCCTTTTGGATGTAGCAGCAATATCCCTGATTTGACACAGAAAAGGCATCCAAGAACAAAGATGATCCATGGAATTCACATGGCTTAACTAGCACAGCTCAGCTCTGCAGTCTTTTAAAAGACCTTACAGAATCAGGACCTTTTCATATGCTTAACACTGGAGAAAAAATTCAGTTTCAGTTTGCATCTCAGTGTGAGATCAATGCCAAAATGTATTGTCAGAACGGAGAAGTAGGTTTTAATGCAATAATAAATCCCTCCTATTATACACACACCCCCACACCTGTCTATGGAATAGTGTTTAATTAGTTAATAAAGGAGAGGCAACATTTAAATTATGATATCAAATCTCTTCAGTCTGGAGAAGCAATCTCATTCATAAGGGCTGATCTAATACTCCTTAATTTTATGCAGTATTACAGGTTCTTTTATAAAACAGACATTATGATCACTGAAATGACAATTCTGTATAAGAAAGAATTCACTGACACCTTTAATTTTTACCCATCTTCAAATCACTGTCATAGCAGCCTATCCTTCACCTGCTTATACCCACCCTTTTCAAGCAGCTTCTGAAAAAATCCTTCACACTGCTTCACTGATAGTCATGCCTTGCTCCTATGAGCAAAACGTGAGAAACTAGAAAATGCAGCTCCTTGAAAAACAGGTTTGCTCTTATTTTCTTTTTCTTTTTTTTAAGTAAGAATAGAGAAGAAACACTTTAACAAATAAGAAATTCAGTGTAAAGTACAGTTGACGTTGACTGGGACAAAAGTAAGAAATTGGGGCAGAGTAAATTAACAAATCTCTCATTATTTACTTCCCAGATCAAGACTGCCCTTCCTGTCAACCCACGAACTTCTAGGACCAGGACCACTCATCCCACTTGACCTTAGCACCACATCTGAGCATCTCACTTTGCGCCTTTTTGCAAAGACAAGCACAAAGAACAGTTTCAAGGCAAGAGCCTTGAAGTGGTGGAACTGGCCACTAGAACAGGCAAATGTGAGATTCCATGCTTTGGGCAGCACAGAGAGATGTACCAGAGCTTCACACATCCCTGGTGAGTGGCTAGAAAGAAATCAGTTTAGAATTTAATTGCTTCTGATTTTCTCTTAAAGAATGTGAATGAGAAATTCTTTATTGAGAAAAAGTTTTAAATTTATCTTGAATCAAAATCATTTTCCTCCCCATTTTTTTCTTTCAGCTACCAAACTGAAAGACTCAGCTATGCATTCAAACCTAAACCCAATGTTGCACACTGATGGAGACAGTTACCTCTTCATTTCCACTGCATCAAGTTCTATCTACCAGCCTCTGTAGATACAGTCTACAAAAGATGGCATTTGTAACAGAAATTGTTAATGCTTCTAGAAAATAAAATCATATTCTGGAATTACTGCTCTCATTGTGACCTCTTAATTCTCATAAAGCAGGTGATCCTGGTTAATGACTAAAACGCAAACATCTGCTTATCCCCCTCAAAAAAAATGGATTAATAAAGCTGAAATTACACAGTTAATGGTGTGGATAGTCTCCCACAGAAGTGTGATCACATTTCAGAACATTACATCTAGCTCAATTTTAATGAAATTAAAATCAATTACTATTGCTACATCCTCTGCTATTTTAAGCCTCCTATGGTTCCATAAACAATAACAGCAAGGATACATTACCATGCTTTTGGAAGAGAAAAATAATTCAGTAAAGGAAGGAATACAGTCTTTTATCTGTAACCACTACACATATTATTCTACACTCTGACATAAATCTGAAAAAGGCAAAAATATCTGTAATTATATAAGAAAGTTCTAGTCAAAGCAAGGAAACTGCATAACTGACAAGTTGCTGTGTAATGCCTTCCAATAAGCATGTCATATAGTTTTTAGCTGAAAATGAGAAGAAGCCATGAATTATTCAAGAACTTGCCCATTTGTTACCAAAACTACTTTGTCATGTAAATGAGCCGAGTTTTGAAATTTCCCGGAAAAAAGTATGTCCCAGAATTTGATCCAAGATCAATTCTTTATTTTTCACAAAGGATTTGCATTAAAATGTTTCAGAGTATTAAACCAGTAACTTGATTATCACAACAATGACTGCTTATGAAAAAAGCACAGCTCCCTTGAAACATATAAATCACCATTTTCCCGTAATATTTCAAAATCAGGGACTTCACATCACACCCAACCTCTGACAGAGGAGCTGATAAAAGAATAACTCCAAAGGCTGCAGCACAGTTCAACTGATGACTTTGGCAGATATATCCAATATTTAAACTGGATCTTGGTGCCCAGTACAAACCAACACAATCCAGAGCACAATCTTTGATTTCAGTAGCACTCCTTGGGATCAAAATGAGCTGAGGCAGCTGAGACAGCAAAACTCAGCAGAGATGGACAGAGAGCAAATCCTGGCTTCTGAACAGTGCTCTTACTTTCTGTAATACTCGTTATTTAATTCATGGAACGTGTCTAATTTCAGTATGGAACAGCAGACAAAGATGAAGCAAACTTATTATCTGAAACTGAATAGTTTAAAACCAAATCATACAAAGTATCTGTAAACTCATTTTAATTCAAAACTGGATCATTTAAGGAATATTTATTCATTCATTCTTTAAAAGTCCTCTTTTTTTAATCGTCTCTTTTTAGGCATAGAGATGACATCCACATCTACATGATGGAAATCACGAGCTCCAGCACATGTTTAATTTAAGGCTCATCCAACAGTTCCAAGATACTTCTGAGAAATGCATTTTGGTGCCTTACTGAACAAGGTTTGCTTAAATGTATGATAAATCATAACTGTGTATTAAAATAAACATTTCTTCAAAACCAGACAACTGTAACTCCCCATGGCCTGATCCCATCAGAATAATTCAAACTGTAACTCTCTAATAATTCAGAGGATTTGAAACAAAGTACTTAAACAAAACAGGATTTTAGAAGTATCAGGTTCTGAAAGTTTACAGCAAATTGAGAATTCGCAAATTTTGTACTTAAAAAAAAGAAGTAGTTAAGTGAAACCACGTTAATTATAGCTGTTGGATGAGGTAATTATAATTACTAGGGAAACGAATTTTGAGACAAAGCATCATGTGACGTATATAAGAATAAAAAAATTAGTATGTATTAACTGGAAGAAATATCTAAATTCTAATAGCTAAAATTATTTTTTTTTAACCAATATCTAATACTCTATAGATTATTAACCAACAATCCCCACATTCTTATTTAGACTTTAACACAATACTCACCTCAGAACACACGTGTAGAAACCACTGTCTTGCAGCTCAACCGAGTGAAACCATATGGAATCTTCATCCTTGCTCATCCTAACTTCGGAAAATATAATGGGTTCTTCTAAATCTCCTTTGTTTTTGTACCACATAAGCCTAAGACCTGTGCTTTGGGCCATGCTATAATTAGTTCTGATATAGCTGTAGAAAAGGGCACATTTCACTCGGACTGGTTCACCTGCCAAAGCCATGTATGTCTTGAGATCCACTGACCAGTCAATGCAACCATCAACTGAAAGCAAAACAATAATAAAGAAATATTAGACACAGACACATTTTTCAATATGGTGAAAGGCAGCTTGGGAAATGCAATACACTACCCATTAAAAGAAATGGCTTTTGGCATCTGCTGAATTGTTTTAAGGTAATATGGAAGACATAAAGCAGTTATTGGCAGCTAAGGGGCTTCATGCACCTTTTTAAATTACATGTAACTGTGAAGGTGCAGGCAATAAGTAGAGCGCACTAAGCTTGCTCAATTTCACATCTTTAGAATATCATTACTTTCATCCCCAAGACACTAATTCTTTATTAAATCAACCAAGTGTTTTGCACCTTAACTGCTTGCCCCTGTAAACCAGTTTTGAATTCTCCAATTCCTTGTTGGAAGAAAACGTACATTGGCATTTGATGCCAATCTTATCCATTAAAACTTTTCCATCCACCTCTGTTAATTATGTTATGCAAAAAAAATCCCCAAATAACAGATGTGACATTTAGAATTTTCTTTTCAAGGCAGTTCCACATAGTTGGGTTTTTTCCCTACAGCCTAATCCAGCTGTAGAGGTCTGTATTATATACAACAGTATACAATTACAACATGCTGCCCATGCAATCAAACTTAATACAGGAGTCATATAAATAAAAAAGGATCTCTTTTGATGTTCTTTTCAACAAAAACTTTTGAAACAGTTTTCTTGATACTTCACTCTAAAATTAACATACATCAGACAGTTTAATAAAAGATCACTTATCCCTACAATTTTTCCTCCCATTGCTATTATCTTAGTTACAATACGGACCTAGCACATGCACACATATCAACACATCACTTATCAGAGACCTTTTAATTCAATCTTTTTCATTGCTGGAAAAACTATAAACTTGAAAATAAGTCAGGAATAAAACCAAAGAAAAAGATTTCAAAAGCAGGTCATCAAAAGGCAAAAACAATACCTAACATTGATATACTTCATTAAATATGTAGCTTTTAGAATTTATTGATCATATTAAGCTACAAGTAAATGGAACATCTTTACCCTTAATGCAGCATCTCAGATTCTACCACATAACTCTCAAGTTGCTTCTTGTGCATTTACAGTATCAATTCTCATACTATAAATGTTGGATATCCTCATACACTTCTTATTTAATACACACTGTTAATTGCATTCTGTCATCAAGTGATTTTTTAATTTACTTCCTAAACAAAGGTAGTGAACAAAAATTTCTGTACATGGAATATCATGCCTGATCCTATTTTTGGTGACTTTTAAAGCCTTTTATTTTTGTCTACCAAGTTTTGAGGTTTCTCTTTAATCATTGAAAGGTAACCATGACAAATGGAAGGTTTTAATTTTCCCATTGCAGTAAATCAGCTTTAAGTGTTGTGATCACATGAGCCACATGTTAAACTTGTTGACACTGACCACTTTAATACTTTTCTGATATAAAAACTTCCATGTAACATCTTGCTGCAAAACAAACTTGTTAAAAAAAACAACTAACAATCTCAGGAGGGAAGGGAAGCCCATTACTCAAAATATTAGTCTTGACAGATTTGATAGGTGAAGGGAGATCATGGAACACCTTTACCCCCAGGGTGTTTCCTGTTCCTGCCCCCCGCTCCATAGGCAGGTGCAAAAGCAGCAGCTATTTGTGCCAGCTGACTTCTTTCTTCATCAAAAAAGCCCCCAAACCAAACCCTTCACCTGAATTTGTGTACACAGTTAACTGTTCCAGTTAACTTCAATTTTGATTTTCATTCTTTTTGCTGACAATATTCTACTGATTTAAATTAAAATTCATTGCTTTTAATGGCTGCTGTTAATGACATCAACTGAAGGGCCAGTAGCAATTTACTGATGTTCCTTTTCCTCACTGCTTCTGCTGTGTCCTTCCTCTAACACTTGGAGCCACAGACAGTAGGACAGGCTTGGATAATCTTTATTTGAAAGTTGTGTACTGGAGCATTTGTTCTCAGTGCATCTCCTCCAGGTTTATAACATCCTTCACCATGACCAAAGTTGCACACTGTAACTTGAACATGCCCTTGCCAGGACCCCAAGAAACATTACACTGACCTCTCTCTGTCTCTGCTGCTGCTGCACAGACATGGGCAGCCCACAGCAGACCTGGAGAAAGAATCTGGTTCTCCCAGTCCTACAACCCCTTCCGATCCACTTTTACATTAAATGCCTGGTTCTGACAATATGAATTATTTTATATAGGTGACAGGAGTCATCCTACTCCACACAGAGCTTCCTCAGAAAAGCTCTGTGCTTTTTTTAAGTCCTGCTCTTTAGGCAGGTGTGATTTACAATTACAGAACAGTGCAGAGCTCACAGCTGCCTTCTCTCAGCAGGGGATGTGCAATGCAGTGCTGAGCTCTCCAGATGGCTCATCCCTTGTTCTCCAGGACACACAGGTATTCCCAAAGGTATCCTCTCTCTACTGTCGTTTAGCAAAGTCACAGAAGTCTAAGTAGGGCTGTAAGCTGAAATGAATACAGGTGTCCAGGACTGGAATTTAGATCTAAACTAATTCAGCCAATCTAATTAACTCAGTCAATCTAATTAATTCTGTCACTCTTGTGTCGGTTGAATCCTGTCATACCACCTAATTCTTTCAAACCTGTGCTGGTTCAGCAAAGTTAAACCACACCAGAGAGTAACTAACAATGAGACACACATGGAAAGCTTGTGGATCAAGGACAGCAGTGCCAGGTTTTTTTCATTTCACAGAGGAGAATCACAATTAGTAGAAGTTATGTAGTTAGGAACTGACCCAATATGGAAATCCAAATTTGGCAACTCAAAATACCTTGCTTCCAATGATATTTCTCCCATATCCACACCAAACTTGTAAAAGCACAGTTCAAACAAACACTAAGCAACCCTCAGTGCCATTCAATCTGCCTTGTCCTCCACTTTCATTTCAAAATTTATTTTCCCTTCTTGAATACACTTCTAATTTCAGAATTTGAGCTACTGAAGTATAGGAAGCACAGTGGAATAGATGAAAGGCACCTGAACACTAATTTACAGCCAGGGCACCAGAGTGGCTAAAAACCCTCTCCAACTGTCCCCAGAGGACACCGCAGTGGTGGGGCCAGAGCTCTGCTGGCCATTGCCAGCGCTCCACTGGAGGCACCCCACACGGCAACCTGGGCCCAGCAGAGCACCTGCAGCCCAAGGAAGAAATGAAAGAAAAGGAAATTTACACTAGAGACTTTTTTCCCTATTAACAGTATCTGAACGAAAGAATTTGAGCAGCCCAAAGGAGGCTGACCCCAACAGGGAGTGGGGTGGAGGGGGAAGGTGCGGGCAGGCTGCTGCCCATGGTCCTGTCTGCTCCAGCTGCTCCCCTGTGACAGCTCTTCCTGCAGCAGGCCAGGAGGGGGTAATTACAGAGAAAAGAGCACACAGGGAACAGAGCAACTAGTCATTATAGCGTTGATGACATCTGTGGAGGGGAGAAGTCTCACAGAGCACCTTGACTAAATCTTAATTATTAAAGAAAGACTAATCAAACAGGAGCCAAGTTTTCCCCCTTGCTCTTTTTTCTTGTTAAATACACAGGTAAGAATGTTTCCTCTTCTGAAGCTGTTGAGGCTAAAATCTAGGTCAGGCTCCCTGCACTCACATGGAAACTGGAATTTTTTCCTCTTGCTGTGCTGTCAGTCACTGGAGCGTGAGCATTGTTAGATTCGTTTGGAGTATTCTCCAAGCTGTCATTACAAATGACTGGAGTTGCTTAGGTGGAGTTCAGCACTCCATTATCCAGAACAAAGTTTGCTGTCATTTTTGCTGGGCTGGCTCTCAATAGGTAATATAATCATGTTGGTGAGAAAAATAATAGCATTAGAGAGGCACTTATACAATAAATGTATATACACCATTTCTCTGCTACCCTATAATCACCTGGTAAGTGCCAGACAGACAGCTTATTCAAATTAAATCCTGTCTATTGTGGATGCTTAATTTACACATTTCCAAGACAGATTTTTATTTTTTAATTTGGAACACTAAGAGACTATAGAAAACACTGTCCCATTTTTATCTCAGATTCCTAAGGGAAAGTGGTCTGCCCACCTATCTGTCAATCTTCCCCATCCCCTTTGCATAACTTCTACCCCAGCTGACTAAATTCAACCCTATTGCATAGAAGATGAAAGTGCTGAGGAGTGCTCTCTCCTGCATGGGTGCAGAACAGCATCCCACTGTGTCCCCCATGTGCTGGGAAACACAGCAGCAGTGAACCACAGTGCAGCCCAAAGGGGCCCATCCCAGTTACCTACCCAGGCTACTGCAACCTGAGCAGAGAGCAAACTGAAAATGAAGACTACAAAACTTAAGGAAAATATAGATTGAGTTGGCTGACAATAAGTTATTGTACTTTTATGTCAGCAATCACCCAAAGCATGTACTGCATCTTCTTCCTCAACATTTCCTGGCAATTTCCCATTACTCTTATTTTAAATAAATCTAGTTGTCTAGGGAGTCTAGATGCATTTTAACATGAACCATAATAATTTATAAGCAATTATAGAGGAGCATGTACATCGTCTCTAAGTAATTTGTCTTTCTGATTGCTGTCACATGAATAATTTTTTGCACTGCACATCTGCCTGTTATAATTTTTATAGGGATCTGTCACCCACAGCAATTTATATCATAGCATTGTTAAACATGTTTGCCTACCTTGTTACCTGAAAATCTCATTTTAAATTGAAATAATCTACAAATAAATCATTAAAAAAATAATACACTAACTAATGTATTAAATTTGTTGCTCAGCAAAGCAGGCAATGCTTGTGACTCTAGGTACACAGTCAGAAATAAAACCACCATTCCTCTAATACAAGAGTTATATTTTTATGTATATGTTAGCTGTAGGACAGCAAAGTCCAGGAACTGATATCCATCATGCTCAGGGTTGGCAGACACATAGCAGTGATAGATGCACTCCATTAAGAATGTCCAAAGAGAGATGCAAATTTTTTAGAGTCTT